AGAAATTGAGCTCTCTTTTTCTTGGTCCCTTTTAAGTAATTACAATCATTAATGATAACGTTGTTAAACTAAAACTTCCTCCAAGTTTTAAACTTCATCCAGTATTCCATGTCTCTTTGCTTAAACCACACATCCCTGATCCTTTTCATAGAGAAATAGTAACAACTCCTGAACCTATCATTGTCCAAGGTGAAGAAGAATATGAAATACACAAAATTTTGGATTCACGTGTCCACCGTGGCTCCTTACAATACCTTATTAGATGGAAAGGTTATGGAGTTGATGAAGACACTTGGGAAGATTCATCTAATGTATATGCAAGGAGGTTAGTTGCTGCATTTCACAAATGCTATCCCTCCAAACCGAAATAAGTGCACCCAGAGGATGCCCCATGAGAAGGGGGTACTGTCATGTATAGCCTGGCATGCATTCCGCCGTCGGAACCCACTTCCGGGTTCACAGCGCTTAGCCCCGCCCCTTTTTCTGACGCGGTCCTTCCACGATACTTAGGAAGACCGCGCCAGATTCAAAGGGCTGGATTATTTGCACAGGTGCCTGCAAAGAGATCAGCTGCTCTACTTTGATCCTACCTGCTCCACTCCTAGACCTCGGCTTGTAAAACGGAATTCTACCTTCTCCACTCCTAGACCTCGGCTTGTAAACGGAATTCTACCTTCTCCACTCCTAGACCTCGGCTTGTAAACGGAATTCTACCTTCTCCACTCCTAGACCTCGGCTTGTAACACGGAATTCTACCTTCTCCACTCCCAGACCTTGGCTTGTTGAAACGGACTTCCACATTCACTACTCCTAGTCCTCGGCTTGTTAAAACGGACTTCTAATTTCTCCTCCATTGGGTGAATTAACCCTGCCAGTGCCAGAACTGCTTCTTAAGTTAAGTAAAACTTTTACCAAACAAGCCAATTCCTATTACTTCTATTACACAGTATCTAAAAGCTCACTAAAGTGTTATTTTGTCATGTTATTCCTCTTATTCATAAGGGACTGCTGCCAAGGCTAATTCTTTTCTGCAATAATCAAACTATTCTAATTGCAAGCCTGTCCAGCTTCATTAATAATTTTCTCATAAATTATTCCATCTTAATTAAGTTGGAAACTAACACTGCCTATTTCCCTGCATGTGTATTTAAAGATACAGTAACCATTGTTTCATATCAGTATAAAAAGAGGTGAAACTTATTGTTGCTGCAATCAGAAAATTCTGCAGTTGAGTTCCAATTAAAAAAGTATTACACCAAGAGGCCGAAGACCCGCCACATTGTTCGGTGGCCACAAAATCCCCTTGGGCCAATACATAGATAGAGCCTCTCAAGCGGCTTGGCAGTTAGCAGGGCTTCACCTGTCACAGAAAATTAGGTCATTGTTTTCACCACTTGGCATTAATCAGCCAACCAGTACAGGATGGGATCTCCTTTAATACTTAATATTCATTCAATCGCTAGTGTCTCAACTACCTAAAGTTGTTGAGGATGTGTCTATCCCCAGCATCCTAGCAAGGTCAATCACTCCATCACGAGGAAGGGAAAACCCTACTACTCTCAGGTCTTGGACTTGGACCATCCCAAGAATTACAGCTGAACTAAGGCGAAGGAACATAACCTACCCTTCCACTGCTAGGAAGGCAGAACTGTATAGCGATTACCTCAGATCTTTTTCCGCAAAGGCGTCTGCAGTTCTGGCACAGTTTAATTTACAATCAGACTGGAGTCAGCTGGATACACTGAGGCACTTTGCGGGCCTCAAGACATCAGCTTGTACCATTTGCTCCTCGACCTCCCATACCTCTAACCTATGTCCGAATACCCCAGAGGTTTGTTCTAACTTCCCCAACCCAGTCACCACTTTAAACCTCAGGGAGTAGTCAAGGACAAACTGGGATGTCATATTTTTTTCTGAGAAATCCCAGGTATGTAATCATTTTAACACAGGCACTTGCAGTTTCAGTGCCTGCAGGTTGTTGCATGTTTCCACGCTATGTTTCAGGGCACATGCCAAAATTATATGCCCCAATAAAATGTACCCCAAACACTATCTGGCATCGCTCAATGTGATCTTTCTTGCAAAATTATTACCTAACCATCCCTCACCACATTTAGTGGAATTTTTGGTCTCAGGTTTTACGGAAGGATTCCACAATGGAATTATTTACATGCCATCCAGGCATAGTTGTCCCTATCTGCAGACTGCCTTGGCTAATCCAGAAGCAGTGGACTCTTTATTAAAACATGAGTTGGACCAAGGTTTCTCTACAGTTCCCCGCCTTTCTCAGTATGGAGGTTCAATCCCATAGGGGTGGTCTCAGGTAAAAATTCCACTAATGAACGGTTGATCATCAACCTCTCTGCTCCCCACTCTTCAACGAAACAGAACAAAATTCAAGAAGTGTAACCCTAAAGGAATCTAATCATAGTTTTAGACAGACTCAGGCAGGCTCAGGCACCAAGTGTAGTGGTGGAATGGAGATATGCTCAGGCACCGACAGGCTCAGGCACCAAGTGTAGTGGTGTTATGGAGACATGCTCAGGCACAGAGTGTAGTGGTGTTGTGGAGACAGGCTCCGGCACCGAGTGTAGTGGTGTTATGGAGACAGGCTCGGGCCCTGAGTGTAATGGTGTTATGGAGACAGACTAAGACACAAAGTGTAGTGGTGTTATGGAGACAGGCTCAGGCACCGAGTCTGTGGAACCACCATCCTCTATATCAAAGTTGTGCAAGACTGTAGCCAATGACAAAAAGGTTAAGGTGAGTCCTGATAAAAGCAGTTGTTGTTGGGGGGATTCTATCATCAAGAGGTGTTGAGCTGGACAATAGTGGCCTTGTGAGATGTCTTCCTGGAGCTACTGTTCACAGAGACGGAGACATATTTGTAATATTGTTAAGCTATTAAAGCAGGAAGGGGAATTGGATGTACTTGTGCAGCTATAGACAAATGACTTGGCGTGCAATGAGGTTTCAGAGGTAAAGGAAGTTTGTTGTGTTTTTGCCAATGATATGCGGCAGGTTGCTTCCACACTGTCATTCTCTGAAGTTCTGCCTATGCATAAAACTCAAAATGACAGGCGGAAGCGTATTAGGGACTGTAACTTGTGGCTTGATTAATTGTGTCGGTAGCAAGTATTTGGCTTCATTTCTCTTGGTAGCTCTATTTGGAATGGAAATAAACTGTACAAAAGAGATGATTTTCATCTTTCTCAAAAGTGAACTAATGTTCTCAGTGAGCAGTTCAGACGTATTCTTAGGACGTATTTAAACTAGGAGGGGGGAGTGGGCAAAAGGATGATAAAACATCAATCCAATTGCCCCCCAAATCAATGACAGAAAGTGCCTGTAAGCTTAGAGTCATTTCTACGAATGCTCGCAGTTTAGGGAATAAGATCCATGAACCTGTTGCAATAATGGCAACTGATAATGTAGATTTAGTCGCTGTTACTGAGACATGGCATAATGAGAAAAATAACTGGGACATAGCAATACCAGGGTAATCTTTCTATAGAAAAGACAGGGAAGGTGGGGGAGGGTGGCCCTGTATGTGAAAAAGAGCATAAAATCTAGCCTCAGAAAAGTTAGTGAGGCGAACATAGAGTCCATTTGGGTAACATTAGAATTTGGTAAGCCCACAGTAACTCGTGTAGGTGTGATTTATAGGCCCCCAGGACAAATAGAAGAGTCAGATAATCTCCTAGTTGAGTAGATAACTAAAATGGCAATGAAGGGGGCAGTTATCATAATGGGTGACTTTAATCTTCCTGATGTTAACTGAAAAACCAATATAGCTGCTTGTGCCAGGAGCACATACATTCTAAACTCCCTACTGGGATTGTCTCTAAAACAAGTCATTGAGGAGCCAACTCGTAAGGAGGCCATACAAGATTTAGTGTTAACAAATGGAGATTTGGCATCAGATATTACTGTAGGTGAAAGTTTAGATTCCAGTGATCACCATTCAGTGTGGTTCAATATAAGAACAGTGACTGAGTCACCCCACACAAAAGCAAACGTTTTAGACTTTAGAAAAACAGACTTTTCTAAAATTAGAATATGTGTAAATGAGTCATTATCAGACTGGAGCCGTTTAAATGGAGTCCAGGAGAAATGGGATTATTAAAAAAATTGTACTTCTGAAGGCAACAGGAAATTGCATTAGGCTTGTCAATAAAAGCAAATTAAAGAAAACACTGTGGTATTCCGCAGAAGTGTCCAAAATAGTAAAAATCTAAAAGTTAGCATTTAGTAATTATAAAAAGACCCAGAGTGAGGAAGATAGACAGATCTATAAGATTAGGCAGAAAGAGGCTAAGCAAGTTATAAGAGCTTCCAAACCACAAACAGAAGAGAAAATAGCACAGTCAGTAAAAAAGGGGGACAAAACATTTTTAGATACATACATAAGAAAAGGAAAGTAAAACAAGGATTAGTTAGATTAAAAACAAAATAAGGAATGTATATAGAAGAGGATACAGGTCTAACTGACTGTCTCAATTAATATTTTTGTTCAGTATTTACAGATGAAAATGAAGGAAAGGAACCTGAGCTAGGAAAAGGGACAAATGAATCATATGTTACATGTGAGTCTACAGAGGAAGAGGTTCTATTTCAACTGTCAAAAGTAAAGACAAATAAATCGAAGTTATTAAAAGAGCTAAGTGGTGTACTAGCAAAACCATTAATGGATTTATTTAACCAATTATGTATAACCTTTGGCACAGTTTTTTGTTTGTTTATTATTCCTAAGAAAATACATTTTATTTTAACCAAATCTTAAACAAATTGAAGATTATGCTAGCTTTAGTGTACTAATAATCTTAATTTTAATAAGGACAGGAGGCGAGTATTTTGCATTAACTCTCTTTACTAAACTCCACAGCAGTAAAGAAAAAGGTAAAAAGTAACATTAAATCACTGAGCAGCATAGTATATATAAGGGTCATGCTGCCTGTACACTTCCTCTTTCTTGAAGCAACATCCAAGACCAGACTGAGCTCGAAACGATAGAAACCAACGAAACAATCAACAACGGTCTCTGGTGAGCAGAACTTCATGAGACTCCTGGTAAACGAGGTTGGGAGAAGACGAAACGAAGCCTTTATCCTCGTAAGCGGAGTCGTGAGGGTAACCAAACCAACAACCAGTGGAGGTCCTGAAGAGGATTACACTGAAAGAAGAGTATGAAATAGGTTAGGTACTGAGCCGTAACTGGTCACGCATGAGAGCCATATCAGAGTGTGTCAACCTAAGTGATGAGATACACAGTAGTGTGTGTAATGTAAGATAAATTACGTGTTATGTGTAATTATGTGGTGCAACGTAACATGGCTGTCTAAGACCTAGTTCGGGTTAGAAACTGCATGCACCCCAAGGAAAGTAGCAAAGCACTGACAAGCCAAAACAAAAGGTCCGTCACCTTGAGATCCACTCCCCCGAGGAGTCAGGGTAGGGAACAAAAGGGAGGGAAAATACTCGCCTCCTGTCCTTATTAAAATTAAGATTATTAGTACACTAAAGCTAGCATAATCTTCAATTTTATAACATGACAGGAGGCTTCCTATTTTGCAATTTTAACGCTGAAGGAGAGATGTACCAGCAGAAGGGGGAGTGCGAAAATAAAAGGTACGGAAAGTGGATTCCCGAGACCAATCCGCCGCTCGGAGGATGTCTGACAGTGACGCCCCCGCTAGGAAGGCTGAGGAAGCCGCCGCCTCTCGAACGGAGTGGGCGCCGAAAGTAGGGTCTATGCCGGCGAGGGAGAGGATCCAGCGAATCCATCGGGCCAGTGTGGTGAACGAGACCGGCGCGTGGGGGCGAACATAGGAGACTAGGAGTTGGCCCGACGCCAAGTTCCGGAGCGAGGAGGTAACCGAAACGTATCTGCGCAGGGTGGACACGACGCAGAGTTGCGGATCATCTGGGGAAAAAAGGGTAGAATACCGAAGTCGAACCCGACTTAGTGTGACGGGAAACGTGGAATGTGACCCCCTCCGGGGCAATCTCGAAGGCGTCAACGTCGAAGGCTCGAACGTCTGATACCTGTCGAAAGGACACGAGACAGAGCAGAAAAGCGCACTTAGCCGACAATTGGCGTAGGGAGAGGCGGTCATTAGGGAGCCAATCCCTGAAAAAACATCCCATAGGTGAGAGTACCTGGAAGCTGGGGGGCGGCAGAGCCGCATACCGCGGAGCAGGCGGCAGACGAGAGGGTCTTTGCCGACCGGGATGTCCCCTACCGGGGTGTGGGCCGCCGAAATCGCGGAGCAAAAAACGTTAACCGACCGGTAGGAGCGGCCCGATGAAAACAAGGATGAAAGGAAATTGAGAATCATGGGAATAGGTGCTGTAAATGGATCGGCGTCCCGTTCCACGCACCAAGTAGACCAGGAGGTCCAAGCTGAAAGGTAGCAGCGTCTAGTTCCAGGGGCCCAGGAATCCCATAAGAGGTCCCTAGTAGCCTGCGATAGTCCGCTGACTTGCCAGGAACCCCGGAAAGAGTCCAAGCCACCAGGGGTAGGCGATCTTCCAAGAGAAGCGGGTGGAGATTCCCTTTGGGATCCGTGAGCAGCTCCGGAAAGGATGGCAGGAGGAGAGGATCCCTGCAGGAGGTGGACAGGAGGTCCGGGAACCATGGTTGGCTCTGCCACAAGGGTGTTATGAGGACCAGAGTGACCTGTTGCGTCCGTATCTGGTGTAATGTTCTCGCGATCATGGCAAATGGGGGAAATGCGTAGGCTCCGGTCGTCGGCCGATCATGGCAAATGGGGGAAATGCATAGGCTCTGGTCGTCGTGTTGTAGAAATGCGTCCGTCGCCTTGCTCTCCGGGTCCGGGAGCCAGCTGAAGAACTCCGGGGTCTGATGGTTGTTGCGGGACGCGAAAAGATCCAGGTGAAAGGGACCCCTCCGGGTCGCCAGGGCTCTGAAGATCCTCGTGTTCAGTCTCCAATCGCTGACGTCCCTCCAGTGGCGAGAGAACCAGTCGGTCGTGAGGTTGATTTCTCCGGGTAGGTATTCGGCCTGGAGAGCGATGTTGCGAGGTAGGCAATAGTCAAAAATGTCCTTCGTGATGTCTGACAGTAGACGTGAGCGTGCGCCCCCCAGGCGATTGATATACCGGACTGCGGAGACATTGTCCATGCGTAGGAGGTGTGGTGTATCACCAAATTAATATATATACTACACAAGGTTCGTCTACATTAAAAGGTATTTATTAAAAGGCAACAACACAATACTATAAATGTATCACAAACACACAGCCCAGACCCACGGAGCAACAACCCTTTTTAAATCTATCTATATAGTAACCCCTTCCCCACAAGTTTGATCTCACCCACGGTTAGGCCTTCACATCTAGTAATGACTCACTGCTGCAAGTTCAACATCACATCCACCAAGGAAGAAAAGGAAGCAACAGAGTGTAACATAGTTCACCAAGATAGCACATGGCGTCTGCTCTGTCGCACAGCCAAGAAGGAACAGAGAGGAATGGAGAAAGGGGGAAGTGGTTATCTCTTTCCTGACTTGTAAAGGTATTGAATTACCAATTAACATTTCAAAAGGGTAAAGCTTATCCCACTGTAAGAAAAGCAAACATGAGCTTGGTCACATGACCCCTGGTCACCATATTAGTTTGATGACAGAATGTCACCACATTCCCTCACTTTTTCTTCTCTTATGTTGAGCACATTTAAAAATAATAATTTATCCCTTCTATCTAAACTATGAGATCTGAAGTAGGAAAGGGGAGCACAGGAATTATAGTGAGTGATATAAGCAGGGTGAAAGAAAACAGTCAAATAGGGGTTGCATCACCCCACATTCCCCCACTTTTTCTTCTTTTATGTTGCTCCGTTATCTAGTTATCCCTCTAGTACAGGAAAACCTAGTGGGAGCAAAAACCTGATATACAGGAGAAATTCAACCCACCGTCCCTCCGGAATAGTTCCCTCAGCGACATAAGTTCTCCTGTACTTTCCTATGGCTGTCAATTCACGTGTTATACAAAGTGTCACAAAAAACAGAACTTATAGAATGTAGGTGAGAGTGTGTGTGTGCAATGTAAAACTTTATTGAAGAATGTGTGAGAGAGCGAGAGAGAGAGAGAGAGAAACAAACAAAAACAAAAAAAACAAAAAAAATCCCCCTTTTCAAGTTTCTTCCTCATCTATTTAGCATGAGTACTAGCAGCAAAGTTTGTAGGACTGGATGTGATATTTGCAGAATTCCATACTCTCAATCCAGTTCCGACTCCTCCCAGTAGAGCTGCAAATTGTCCCATTTTTCCTGACACCCTGGTTTGCCTAAAACACTGTCGCCGTTGTTCCGGACACCTTGGAGGAATAGAAGGATTATTAAAATATAGACTGTAATCTTCTCCCTTATTTGGAGTATCTTCTGGCCGTATTGCCTGTCTCCCATCCCTACTGTGATACAGCGTATACTTATCCATCCTGTAACAAGGATCCACTACGATCTTCTGTTGACACACATCATCATCCTAATACAGCTTTGCCTTGCTCTGTGGGAACACTAGATCTCATCATTAGAAAGGAATAGCTAAATGGGAGACGGGAAGACTGAGAGAAAGAACAAAACAAAAGAAAAACAAACATACATAGGATGTAGAGGACAACAAAAATTATGGGAGTTATTCATTGCTGGGGACCCCCAATTGATCAGTATTTCCCTTCCTCATCTGTTCCCTAAGCACTTTCACGTCTGCCTCCAATCTCTCAGTCTGTCTCTTTATTTCCCAGTAGTCTGTATTCCCTTCTTTATTCCTCCAAGTATCCCAATTCCGTCTATTGGTCTGATGCTCATCCCATCTATGGTTCCTTTTCCAATTATTCTCCCTATAACTGTTCCTGTTGTTTCTCTGTTTTTCTTGCCAACTGTGATTTTCCGAGTTATCTCTCCTTTTTAGCCTCTCCCAGGTATTATTATTCCAATTATTATTGATTACCTTAGGCCCCTCCCATCTATTCCTCCAATTATCTCCCATTACATTCCCATGGTCCCTGTGTGGATCTCTCCATCTTTTGTCAAAGTCCTGTTTTGGTCTCCAGTTCTCATTATCCCTCTTGTTCTGGGGTACACGCCACCTCTGGCTTCTCCATTTACCATCTATATCTCTACCAGAGTCGACCTTGAATGTTCTTATGGCTGAGACAGAGAAGGCCTGTTCTGAGGAAGGATGCTTGATCCACCAATTGTCAGCTCTAGTTAGTACCCTTTCTAAGTCTGCTGGTGTTGGATCAAAAAGCCTCACAAATTCTTGACACTCCCAGGGAAGGGCTTCCATTACTTTAGCAATGTGTTCTGGTGAGCCCAAGACCAGAGGCTGTTGAGGTTGGCGTAGCGTATACCAGAACAATATCCTTTGAGCTACCTCTCTAGGACCATCTGCTGGCCTCATCATAATATTCTCTATTTCTTTCTCTATGCTGAGTAGATAGAAAATCATTGCAGCGATTCTTCCTGCCTGATCAGACACACTGTTATTAAATCCAAATAGTCTGCTAGCCAAAGGACCCATAGCATATTCTAAAAGTTCTGTCCATTCCTCTAAGTTAAGACCTCCTTTTTTTGCTCTATTTGCTCCCCTCATAAACCAATGTGTAAAGGTGTTAAAGTCGTCAGTTGGCATACTTCCCCACCATTTCTGGAAATTAACTTTGTCTGTGATTGACATAGTCCTTGTCTGTCTAGAGAAGCTAGTAGGCATTTCTCTTACATTAAAATGTTCAGTTATTATTATAGGGGCTTGTGGAACACAATTTACAATTGGCACATTTCCCTTGTGTTTTGTTCCCAGCACTGGTGCTGTACCTTTAGATATAAAATGAGACTGGCCTGGGCATACTTTAGGAATCTCCTTATCCCATTTATTTATGCTTTCTTTAGTTTTTATTTTATATTCCATGACAAGGTTTTGGAGTTCAGTGATCTTAGCACTATATGCATCTCTCTGTTGTTCTATTTCCTTTAATTCTTTCTCCAACCCCTCGGTCATTTTGTTTGTTCTTAGGGCAGCTATTTTAAAACAATCTCTTTCATCAAGAGCATCTTCCATTTTATTAGTGGTTACTAAATTAGCTTGCTGCAATTCGAGTACCATGCTTGCCAAACCCCCTATTGCAGCAACAACCGCTTGTGCCACCAAGCTTTTCCTTTTCTTAATATGGCACTTTTTATTAGTAACAATCTGTGTCAAAACATCCATGAAACCTTCATATTTTCCACAATTGGGGCCTGCTGGTTCTGGAAGCTCA